ACTTACTTTTTCTATGCTATTTATACAACATGCATCAGTAAATATTTGTCTTGATTTCATTTGTACTAAAGCATCCCTATTTTTAATGCATTTTATTTACTAAGCAGTTCTTTTCACATATAAATCTTGCGCTATTTTCCTGTAAGGCACCTCATTTGAAAATACTTTATTATTAATTTTTTTATTTTCCATGTATGAGTGTACTGCCTGCCTGTGTATAGGTGCACCTATGTCATGCATTGCCCACAGAGATCAGAAGAGGGCATTAGATCCCCTACAACTGGAGTTATAGACAGTTATTAGTTGCCTTGTGGGTGCTGGAAACTAACCCAGGTCCTCTGCAACAGCAGCCAGTATTCTTAACCACTGAATCATCTCTCCAGCCCCCGTCACTATATTTTTATGACTTTAAGTTTTCTTTCTTTTTAGTTTACCAACTGTTTTACATGTTCTAAGCTTCATTTCAATCTCATCTCGATTCTGTTTTTATTCCACACTTGATTTTTATTGCATTTCTCATAAAAAGTTGATGACTTGAATTCTCTAAGTTAAGAGAAGACACACATAGTTAACTTTCTTTGATTCAAATGATGTCTAGGTAAAATTCAAAGTCAAACATAAATCATTGCCTAAGAATTCTTATGTCTGGATATATATATACATTTATAAGGATTTGGTGCTAGGATCCACATATGAGGGAGCACATATGTCATTTGTTTTACTGAGTCTGTTACTTCACTTAATATAACAGCTTCTAGTTCCATCCATTTACCAGAAAATTTCATGATTTCATCTTTCTTAACCGCTGAGTAGAACTCCATTGTGTGAATGAACCACATTTTCATTATCCACTCCTCAGCTGAGGGACACTTAGGTTGCTTCCATCTCTTAGCTATTGTGAAAAGAGCATCAACAAACAAGGATGTACAAAAGTCTTTGCAAGAGGACGAGTTCTTTGGGTATATGCCAAGGAGTGGTATAACTGGGTCAAATGGTAGGTTCATTTGTATTTTTTTTTGGTGTGTGTGTGTTCTTGAGACAGTGTCTCTCTGTAGTCCATCTGGCCTGGAACTCACTATGTAGACCAGGCTGGCCTTGAACTCACAGAGATCCGCCTGCCTCTGCCTCCAGAGTGCTGGGATTAAATGCATGGGCCACCATTTTTGTTTTTTTAAGAGCTCTCTACACTGCTTTCCATAGGGGTTGCACAAGTTTGCAATCCCACAAGCAGTGGATGAGCGTTCCCCTTTCCCCACATCCTCTCCAGCATTTGGTATCATTTGTTTTCATGATCTTATCCAGTTTGACTGGGGTAAGATTAAATCTTAAAGTGGTTTTAATTTTCATTTCCCTAATTACTAATGATGTTGAACACCTTTTAAGATACTTCTTAGCCATCTTTATTTCTTCTTTTGAGAACTCTCTGTTCAGATCCTTAGCCCATCTTTTAATTGGGTTACTTCCTTTCATGATTCTTTGTTCCTTGAGTTCCCTATATATCCTGGTTGTTAAACCTCTGTCAGATGTGTCACTGGTGAAGATTGTCTCCCACTCTGTGGGTTTTCTCTTCACTTCCTTGGTTGCTTCTTTTGATGTAGAGAAGCTTTTCAGTTTAATAAGTTCCCATTTGTTGACTCTTGACCTTGTTTCCTGAGCAATTGATGTCCAATTTAGAAAATCCTTTCCTACACCTATATCTTGTAAGTTATTGTCAATATTTTCTTCTAACAGTTTCAGAATTTCAGGTTTCACATTGAGGTCTTTGATCCTTTTGGAGTTGACTTTTGTTCAGGATGAAGGATAGGGGTTTAGTTTCATTCTTCTACAGGTGGAGATCCAGTTTTACCAGCACCATTTGCTGAAAATGCTGTCTTTCCTCAAGTGAATGTTCTTGGCCCCTTTGTCAAATATCAGGTGGCTGAAATTGCATGTACCCATATTTGGGTCTTCAATTTTGTTCCATTGATTTATGGTTCTATTTTTGTGCCAGTATCTTTTTGTTTTTATTATTATAGCTCTGCAATATAGTTTAAAATCTGGTGTAGTAATCCCCCCAGCATTTCTCTTAGTGCTCAGGGTTGCTTGGGCTATCCGAGGTCTTTTGTGCTTCCATATGAATCTTAGGATTTTTTTTTTCTAATTCTGTGAGGAATATCATGGGGATTTTTGATTGGCATTGCATTGAATCTATAAATGGCTTTTTGAAAGGGAAAGAAAGAGCCTTAAAGAGAACAGTAGGAAACAGGTATTACTAAGGGAGAAATGGATAAAAATGGGGTTATTTAAATGGGAGGGAGGAAGGCAGTTTATACAAAGAGCGTTGAGGATAAAGAGAAAGAAGGAGCTCAAGAGAGGTGGGACTATAGGAGAAGGGTATTATTATGGGAGAAATGGGAAAAATGGGTACACTTGACATGGGGAAACCGTCGTGGAAGGGTTACAGCAAGAGAGAGAGAGGAGAGATAAATAATGCCTAGCTAGTTTTTAAAAAAAACAGGGAACCATATTAATCCAACAACGTACTGACAAATTATAATACATTATCTCTATATAAGTCCATGTGTATAGTTAAAGGCTACATAACAAGAAACAGTGCCATAAGGTAGATACCTTCCTTTGAGTTGTTGGCCAGGGTGGTTCAAGAGACTCCCAACATTACTCAGGCTATTGCCCTTCCCTTAATGTCCTCCCAGAACTTGAAAGTAAGACCCTACTCCAAAGATAGAACATACTTTGGACACAGGATTTGGAGCAATAAAGTTGCAACTGACCTGCAACCACTTCCCCTGAAGGCTAGCTCTCATAGCTTTGGAGAACGCTACAAAGGTGCCAAGGGAAAACATCAGTGGATCATCCAGGAGCAGCTTCTTGACCAAATAACCACATCATTGGCCAGAACATCATACATTGTTGGTGCAGTAGTGGTGCTTTTATCTTGGGGTGATCAACAGCTACCTAATTTGACTAAAAGTCCACTCAAAGGAAGGGAACTCAGGTGTGGTAATGTAAACATAACCTAATACACAAGGCTGGAGTGGTCATAGATCTTAGAGAAATCCCCAAGACAGTCACATCACTAGACTAATGTGATTTCTTACTATGTGCAAAATATGTATCCTTATATTTACAGACAAATCCAGTCACCACTCATCAAAGAAGCTCATTTTACACCAGTCAGAGACTATAGCCAAGCACCACAATTGGTCACACGGACATTGTCTATGAATTTCCCAGGCCTAAGGGACACATCTGTAATGCAATCTCAATACCTAAGGCTCATGGAACATAGAATAGGGATAAAGAAGAGGACACTAATGAATCTCTCATTTCTCAATAATGATGCTCCCTCATGCAATGGAGGGCCAGGAACACAAAGGTCATAAATGTCCAAAGTGTAGGGATCAAGAGTCTGCTGAATAATGGTCCTTGGATAAGATCCCTTTAGTAAACTTCACCCATCCAAGGCTCAGGGACCATCCGAGGAAGAGGGTGTGTAAAGATTGTAGGAGGCAGGGAGGAAGTGCATGACTATATGAAAACAGAGCCCTACAAAGCCTCTGGGAATCTGCTCATATGATTCTATGACAATGGTATCAGCATACACAAGTCCCATGCAAACTCAGGCAAATAATAACCCAGCATAGAACTGGGAAAATGAAAAGCAGACCCCAATCTTATCTGAAGGAGTGTTGGCAACTGATTGATGCTAGATGAAGAAGAGCTGATCTTTCTAAAACAACAGACTATATAGGCTGATTAGATTCAGTGGATGGACTTGCACTGGGGATCAGCTGGCGACACTAACAACACAGTGGGCCTTAGCAGGGGTGACAGAGTATATGGGCTGCAGTGGTAGGAGATGACTATGGGAGGGTGCCAGTGGGGAGAGGGGTATAAAGATGATCAAGATTGCTTGAGATGTTCTGTATGAAATGCTTTGTAAATTCAGTCTTACCAAAACAATTTATTCACTTCCTTATAAATTGCTTTATCCTATGATTTAACTGTTTGTATACTGAATTCTGTATTATGTTTCAAGTTTGCTTTGTAACTACATTAAAACCACCTCTTAAAATTAAAAAAAATGATTACCTGTGTTTATGTTTACTCAGAGAACACAGAAGACACATTTCAGATGAACAGCCTGAGGATTAGTAGATGAAGTGTAGGAAGGAAGTGAAGATTAAACTACAGTGATTAGAATGAGAAAATGAGGTATATATGGTGATATTCCTTATGCCAGGAAAACCTAAGATAAAACTTGAATTTAGGTGTATCCAAAATGTTCTAATATCTGTAGTTTATATTTCAACCTGTAGTTTATACATATTTATATTGATATTGAGTGTATTAATCATAATGAGGTACCAAAAAAGTACTTGAACTTTGAAGTCATAATTTTTATTCTAAAATATCGTTTTGGAAACTACAGGTCTGGTTCAGCCATTCTGATTCGTAGTGTCTAGCTGGGGAAACAGAGTATCTTTAGTTTTTGTGCACTGAGGTATTTGTGACCTTGTAATTTGTAGTGATTCAAAGATGGTGAGTTTATTCTAAATATACTTTCCATAATCAAAATATGTGGAAACTAAAATAAAGAATTATAGTTTTGAATGATCTGTTTAGTAACTATTTTCATGATTTCACTGAATAAGAAATGTTTGTCCTCTTGATCCTGAAGATACGTGTGTCATTTTCTATTTTTGATTTAGGGACATTTCATCCTCCAGAAGGTTTTTACATACACGGAAATGTAAGAGCCAACTAAAAAAAAGATAACAACAAAAATAAATGTAGGAAAAAAAAACAGTGCTCATTAAAGTTCAGTGTTTTTTTGTTGTTGTTGTTGTTTGTTTGTTTCTTTGTTCATTCTGAAAGCAGAATGACAAAGCAGAGTTGGTGGGAGTTGGGAGGAACAAGACAGACGGAACAACCTTAATCAGTGCTGGCTATTATCTGCTCGAAATCTCATAGGCTGTTTTTCTTTCTAATTCCCACAGTATCAAGTCATGGGTGGATAAGATGCAAGAAGACCTTGTCACACTGGCCAAAACAGCGAGTGGAGTCAATCAACTTGTTGATGTGAGTACTTCCACCTGTGGGTCTTCTTATTCTTTTGCTAGTTTGAATGCAGTTGTGTCGTTTAGGAAGCTGTCGATCTGTATTACAGATGGTATATGATTTCCTCTGCCATCATTGTAGGGTGATTTTGTGACACCTTCTTCACATTGTTCATTATTTTAAACCAGAATGCCATCTCTCACAGTTCATGGAATGTTCTGGCCATACTTCATGGTTTTCACACAGCCTTCACTTTAATGAGTCCCTGTGCTGTGTATAACTCCCCATGGATCCAAATTTGTATGCTATACATTTTTAAAAATTATGTTTCCACTCTTCAGAATGCATTCTAGAATTTCTCCACAGTGGTAATTGCAGCTCTAGGGATGGGTTGTTTGAGCACCCTCAGTGGCAATGTAAACTCATTCTTTGAGGATAGATTTTACTTTAAAAATATTTAAAAAGCATTGATAACCATGTCTAGAGACTAGAATGTGTCATCACTCTTTGTAATTAAGATTTTGGTGAAGGAAGTAGAAATACTATAAAAGTTAATTTTTATGATTCCTAAATTAACTGTGAGAGTCATTCTAAAGTGAGTTTTGAAAATGACAAGCTTCTACGACATAAATATTTTGTAGGATCTTAGACATATATTTCTTTATGTAAGATTATGTATGTGTTTTATAAGATTATTAAAAATTAAATTCATTTTTAAGGGTCTCACTGCTTAGTGGGTAAATAAGTAATATAAAATTTGGAACTATTCTTATCTTCTCTTCTTAGCAATACAATGAAGTCTTTTATATTTCAAACATGTGGTAACTTAATTAGATGAAATAGTATAAAATATTTCATGTCTGTATGTATTGAAACCAGACCTGTTCAGGATTTTGTATTTTTTAAATTTTATTTATTATTTTTATTTTATGTGTATGAGTGTTTTGCCTACATGTTTGTAAGTGCACCCATGTTGTGCAGTGCCCTTGGAGGTCAGAAAAAGGGCATCATATCCCCTGGAACTGGAGCTACAGATGATTGTTATCCACCATGTGGGTGCTGGAAACGGAACCTAGGTTTTCTGTAAGAGTAATCAGTGCTCTTAACCACTGATCCATCTCTCTAGCACTGTGGGATTTTGAAATATTTGCATATTCATGAAAATTAACAATTGGGACCCAAGTCTAAACATTAAATTCATATCTCATATACACCTTATACATGAAAGTAGTTTAGAAAACATCTTTAGTTCACCTGTATTTTATTGCAATAGGTCATATGAGGTCAAATAGGAAATTTTCTACTCTGGCCATCATGCCAGATGCTCAAAATTTTTGAGCTTTGCGTTTTACATTGTCTATTTAAGAATGCTCAACCTCTGTATTAATATTTCTTTTTGGGATAAACTAGAATGTATAACTTATGTATAAATAGAAATTCATGAAGAAACTTGTTAAATACTTTAAAATATATAGAACAGTTGAAGGCATTAAATCAAGAGTGTGTTTAACACACTGTAGTTTATTTTGAACATCCTTAATTTGAAAATCCAAATTCTAAGCACTCTCAAATATAAAACTTTTGGAGTGTTGATGTGATGCCACAAGTGTGATGGTTTGTAGTTTCAGCACATGCATACTAAACATACTGTGTGACATTGCCTCAGGCTATGTCTCTAAGGTATGTATAAATCATAAATGAATTTCATGTTTCAACTTCTGTCCCATCCCCAAGATATCTCATTATGTATATGTTAATATCCCCAAATCTGAGGAAATCAGAAACCTGAAGAGCTTACAGTCCCATGTTTCTGATAAGGCACACCGACTCTGTGTCTGTAAGGTGTTTGATGCGAATGCCGATGATCTCTCCAGAGCTCAAGCACACAGTATCTGAGAGCCACTGTAAGTTCCAGTATATGATTGAATGGGGGAATATGTGAGAATGGGAAAGTGTTGACCAGGATGCGAGCCTCTGTCAGGTGATGGAATTTGTGGACATTTCAGTAAATATTATTTATTAATTTTTATTTTAATGATGTTTAAATTGACTAAGGGCAAAGCTTTCATTCAACCACAGCAATGACAAATGACAGATTCTGTTGCTAAGTTATATGACCTTTTAATTGACAGATTGAGATAAAAAATAAACAGTTGTTGGGAGCTTCTCCCTCCTTCAGTAATTCTCTAACCTCAAAACCACTTGCTTGGCTGACCTCTTTGTTACTTCTGCTATTGTTAGTATATGAAAGCTTTCAGTAAATGTGCCATTTTGGGATGTAAGAAATGATTGAGAAAAAAAAGTTTCACCTGGCATTTGTTACACTTTTTTTGAGGTATAGATTACTTAGAAGACAGTAAGTATTAATGGCTGAATAAATGACTTTGAGTTAGTATAACAAAGTGGAGTGAAAAAATTTAAAAGCAGGAGAGAGAGATAGAGAGAGAGAGAGAGAGAGAGAGAGAGAGAGAGAGAAAGGGAGAGAGAGATTCATTACTGGAAAATTAGTTTAGCTATTAAGCACATGAAGACATAAAAGATTGTCTTATTTTTTTTTTTCCTAGCGAGAAGGCCCAGGGTATGTACAAAAGGAGGTTCTTTCTTTCCCTGTCTCATGGGAATTTAAAGCTAACACTAGCTGGAGAATGCCAGAGTTTAGTGTGAACTTATTCTGATATAGGGGACAGTATCATGAGGTTTTCTGTAGTTTGTTTGGTGTAGTGCTGAGACTTGGTGTACTTGAAGGATATTCTACTGAGCTATACAGATTGGGGAGTGGGGGAGCTATTGTGAACCTCAGAAGTTGAATAAATGGTGGAATTTGTAGTGTTCCAGGATTGAAAGTCAGCATTGTAGAAATAGCGCTTCTTCCCAAGTTAGTGCAGTTATTTTTTACTGGTTTCATAAATACAACTACTTTGTATGTGAAGGCCAAGAACTGCAAGAATTAGTATATTACTAAACTTATCATCTTTGAAATTTTATGAAAATTGGTTTATTGAATCATAAAATATTAGTTATGGGAAAGTTGGTTAATATTATTGAATGAATTATATAGTTTCATTTTTTTCTCACATTAGTAATCTATGTTATGGTAAAGGTCACATACTAGAGACTGAGGAAATAGCTCCTTGGGTAAAGCACTTGCTGCACAGACTTGACGACCAAAGTTTGAATCCCCATTACCCACCTAAATGCCAGGTTGGTGTGGGGCCTGCCTGTAATCCCATTTCAGGAAGCACAAACAGGGAATCTCTGGAGCAAGTTGACTACCTATGTTATCCGAATTGATGAGTGCTTGGGTAAAGTGAAACTCTGTCTAGATACTAAGATGGAGTGCAATCAAGGAAGACCACTGAGATCAAACTTAGGCCTCCCTATGCACACAGATGCACCCACACACATGCAGACATGCTTCTATGTACACACATGACACACATATACACATACACATACAAACATTCAGGCATTAATACTAGGCTTAAATGGTATTACTGAACCGATGCACACATAACATCCTGCCATGAACACATAGTTACCTTTCTGATCAAGGGACAGTGTAGTGGTATAATCATGAACAGATAATATTTTAAAGTGGCCATGATGTTCTTGAAAACAAGGTTTATGAATTAAAAATATTCATAAGCAGTCATTTGTTCCTCTGATCTATTGAAACAGTATTTAATCATGATGCTTTTCTGAGGGTTTAGTCCATATCCAAAATATGAGATGTAATGAATGGATGAATTCTGTAGCAATGAGAATTTGCTTCATGAAAAGGTTTTCTAAAATATAAATTGGTGCATAAAAGCTGTTTGTCTTTTCTATGTAATGAATTTCTGAATCTGTAAGATATTATATTAACAGGAAACAGAGTCCTGAAAATATGTCAGAAGCCCTCAGTTATTATATTTGATTGCCACCTCGTACTCTACCTCAGGGGCAACAAACCATTGAACATAAGCAGATGTAGTCACCTGGGGGATCTGTTGTGTCGTTTGTGGACTTTTGGCTTTATACCTCCCCCTTTCTCTTTGGGTCATTCTCATAGTCTCTTCTTCATTAGGAGAAGTATTTGATCGCTGGCATTTACACTGGCTCATTTAATTTTGAGTTGATTCATTTTATCTCTAAGTGGAGCATATTTGATATTAAAAATCTGGTGCAAAGACCTATTTGAAAGAATTAAACTTGTTCCTTATTGCAAATAGTTCTGGTTTTATTGGCAGGGACAGGTGGGGGATAAGGAACCAGCAGGACCTGGTCTTTAGTGAGGTAAACCAGGTACCTAGGATAGCAGATTGCAGGTGAGGGAAGCCAGGTTCCTAATGCCACTGATGCCAGGTGAGGTAAGCCAGGTTCCTAGAGTAGCGGATTGCAGGAAACTTTTGCTTTGCTGCTCATCCTCTTGCAAGACTCCCAGCTGGAGTAAACTCCTTGTTATATTTTGTGCTTTTAGAATCTGATGTGTTCACCCTGTTTTAGGCCTATGGATATAAAAGCTTTGTTTGTCCTGTATCTTATAGTCTGTGCTATCTGAGGTATAAAGATTTGAACCCTGTGGTACTCACATTCATCGTGGTCTTCAGCTCTTCATTGTTTTCCTCGGTCCTTTCCATTCTCCATTTATCAGATGCCTTTTATAGCTTTTGCTGATGGTTTACAACACATCCAGGGCCATGCTATGCATATGTAAGGTACAGAATGTATTTCTCTAGTGTTTGATAATCTGAGTATTTTGAAATATTTGCCCACATTATCTGATATAGCTCCTCACTTTCTTTCTGTACCAATCCTAACTTGGCATTACACTTTTTGACAATGAAGGGTGTTAAAGGAAGCAAACACTGTGGGTTACTGTTGTGTCCCACTGTTTATCTAAGGAATTTGAAATGCACACCATGTGATGATATGTCTTTCTTCTTACATGTTATGTTCTTTTGGAATTTCTGAAACTTTAAGCTAGAATATGAAAATATGCTTAAGAAAAAAATGTGGATCTTTTTTTCCTATGACCATTAATTTTTCAGATCTTTCCAAATTTATTTTGAACTTGTAATATTATTGTTGAACTTGTAATATTATTGTCATGAAGCAAATAGTAGTAAAGGATTTGTACTTTTGTGTAATCAAATAGTAAATGAATAATTAATAATTCTAGGAAAACATGGTAGTTCTTAATTACAGACAAGAATACCAGACTGAAAATACTATTCCTTACAATGAGCTGTATCACAAAATAGGCTGTTATGAACAGATGTATCTCATCATAAAGTATTTTCACATTAAATATACTACTATCATGACAGAGAAAAACATTTTGAATGTTAAAAGAGGCAACTGGTATACTTTAGGAGATTATGAATACACTGGAAATATTACATTGGCAAAGATATTTCTGACCAAGACATCTAAACACAATAAGCAGCTATGGAAGGTAAAGAGGAGAAGCCATTATTTTGGCCTTGCCAAAATGATTAAATTTTCTTCCAGGCGTGGTGGTGCACACCTTTAATCCCAGCACTTGGGAGGCAGAGGCAGGCAGATCTGTGAGTTCAAGGCCAGCCTGGTCTACATAGTGAGTTCCAGGAAAGCTCAGGCTACAGAGAGACCCTGTCTCAAAAGGACAAAAAAAAAGCTTGTGTGTTTGTGTGTGTGTGTGTGCGTGTGTGTATGTATGTCTGTGTGCATGTGTGTAAGCAGAAGACCATCTTGGGTGTCATACTCAAGAACACTGTCCACTACCTTTGAGACAGGGTCTCTGTTTTGGCACTCACCAATTAGGGTAGAGTGGCCAGGGCGCCCCAAGAATCTTCCTGTTTCTGTCTCCCCGGTGCTGGGATTACATACACATTCCACCTTGCCTGACATTGACATTTTTATGTGAACTCTGGGGATCAGCGTTTGCAAGGCAGGTGTTTTACCAACTGGGGTATCCTCCCAGCCCAAAGTTGATATTTTTGGAACTTTATCCCTAAAGTATAATTATTCTGCAATGGCACCACTATAGAACTTCCTGGTTTTATTTACAATAGAATTTTATAAATGAAAATTGTATTAAGTTCTAGACGTTTACATTTTAATGTGCTTCTCAAGGATATAAGTGTAAAGTGTGTCTGCTGAGCTTTCATGGGTATTCTCTAATTAAATTAGTATTTACACAAGTGTTTTGAGTGGATAATTTCTTTTCATTACTAACACTGTGGCCATACCATCTTGTGTCAATAGAATATTCATTTTCTTTGTGATAGAGAGTTCAATATGCTGATATAGTTAAAAAAAAGATTCTGGAACAGAGTATAATTAGTATATTAGTGATTCTGATTGAGAAATCAAGGAACCAGGACTGGAAATCTACTCCAGGGATTGCTGCTCTATGGGGATGAGACTGATACGTGAAAGGGAGAATAGATGCCTAGAAAAAAATTACATGAGTTTGAGTTCTGATAAACAGATGTTACTATCTGTCATTTCACATACAGAGCTCCTTATTTCCCTCAGAAATTATCACTAGTTACCATGATTATACAATCTCTGACCCTCTCCTGTCCCTGTACCTCTCCCTTCATCCCTTTGTTTCCTCTCTCCCTCCTTAACAGTGCCCTCAGCTGTTCCCCAGTGCAAGCTATCTAGAGTCCCTTGTTTCAGGAAGATCAGCTGTTCCTCATCTAGCAGCAATCAGTTGCCAACATACCTTCAGATAAGATTGGGGTCTGCTGTTCATTTTTCCATTTCTATGCTGGGTTACTGTCTGCCTGGGTTTGCATGGGACTTGTGTATGCTGACGCCGTTACCATAGAATCATATGAGCAGGTTCCCAGGAGCTTGTAGGACTCGAGCTAGTTCTTTTGTGGGGTAGTTATATAATTTTATTCATTTTCATTGACAAAGGAATTACTCCAATTTTCTTTTTTATGTAAATTAATGTGCCCAGATATTTACGCCAGGGCTATAGTTTTAAGCTCTTCACTTCATCTATTTAAAATTTATTTGTGAAGCAGATTTTATTTTTACCTCTTGTGTTAGTCAGGTTTCTACTACTATGTGAAATACTTGAGGTAACTAACTGAAAACAGAGAAGGTTTGTTTTGGTTCAGAGATTTAGAGCTTCTGGTCCATGACTGATCTGCCTTATAGTTTTGGGCCTGTGGCAGGCAAGCACATCATAACTGCAGATTGTGGCAAAGCCAAAGTATTCACATTACGGACGAGAAGCAAAAGAGAAAATCCCCTTTACGAGCATGTTCCTAGTAACCTAGGAACCCCCTCCCCCAGTAGCTCCTACCTCCCAAAGATTTCACTAATTTCCAATAGGGCCAACCCTAGGAACCATGCTTTTAACATGGGCAGTTGAGATATAGTCAAGTACCTAAAAATTGTATCATAAATACATTTTCTCAAGTACCTAAAATTATATCATAAATTCAATTTTCTAAGTATTCTTTATATATTTGAGAAGATATGTATACCCTTAAAGAAATGGATTTATAATCCCTTCACTCTTCAAAGTTCTCAATAATATGTATGGCACATGTGGTGACTGAATAAATGACATCATCCATAGTGTGTAATATGAAATGTTCATTGTACACCTGAATCAATTCTAGTAATTGTGAAGCATGTTGTTCTTTCTGTACCACAGGAAAAAAGTGAGACTTGAGAAAAATGCAGAAGTTATTAATGATGCAAGCATCACTACAGTTCACACCAATTAACCCTATTGGTCTTATGCAAAGAGCTAAATGTCCTGGATCAATTAAAATGATGTTGAGGTTTATCTGTTTGTAACTCAAATCAACTAATCTATTCATGCATTGATGTTCCAGAATCTCATCTTAGGCCAAAATGAAAGAGGTTCATGCTGGGTGGAATTCTTAAAGGATAACCTGAGTGTTTAGAACAGGATGTGATAATCCACCCTGTGAAAGCATAAGCCATCTGGTGATGTGCTGGAATCCTGGATGAACCCAAATATAGGTTTTTTTTATACCATTAAAGTAATGTGCCTTAGATAGCATGAATGAAAACCTACAGGGCAGTGTTCAAAGAGTGTGAGGGAAGCTTCAGAGTTTGAATCAATTGATTAAGAGCATCATGTGATTGAAATCTATCAAATATTACTTAGTTATTTATCTCTTAAAAGTTATACAAATATGGTTGTATTTCAGTGGCAGAGCACTACCCTAGCACAGGTAAGTCTCTAAGTTCAATTTTTAGCACTGCTTGTCCCCCAAAGTCTATACATATATTTATACATGTATATGTATGTGTATATGTGTATCATCTATATTTGCCTTTATGTGTCTTCATGGAAAACTAACATACTATTTGGTAGATAAATGGTGCAAGTATTTGTATCCAGTTGAAGCTAATGCTCAGCTGGGACCAAGGTTTAGAATCTGTAAAGCAGAATTTGAGAGTTGTGCCAGAGTAAAAGCAGAGTTGAACTGGCTCTGGTATGTGCCTGGATTCATTTTTCAAAAAGCAATAAAAAGCTGCCAGGTTTGGCTTCAAAGATGGTTTAGTCATGCATGTGTGGCCCATCTGCTCTGTGCATAGGGGATTTCCTTCTCAGCTCAGTGCTCCAGCCACCAAACACTGTCTCTCCTCCTTCCCTGCCCCCTTGCACTTCTCCCTCTCCTGCTGGGAGTGGGCAGGCTGTGTAAAGCAGGTGCAGCTTATGTTACTCTAGGGAAATCCTTCCGCAGACACCTAGGTGAGCCAGAAATGAAGCTGGGTCTTATTTTAATTCTGGTATCGTTTGATTCAGTGATTTAAAATTTAAAACAAGCACAGATTAATTCTCCCCCCCATATTTAAGATGCTAAACACACCATTACAATTCTAACCACAACTTTAATCCAGACTTCAGTAGCGTTCAACTCTTCTAGATGTGAACTGTTTCTGAAGCTGCCTGTGCTCTTATGTGAGCCACAGTGAGGGTCTCATTATTCTCTCATTATTTCTCACCTCTCTCCATAAAGCTTAGGAGTGAACTTCAGCCTGCATAGTCACTGTATGGAAAATGGTGGGAAGTCACCACTTGATACATTCTCAGTTGCCTAACTCTTCTATTTTAGTTTACACATCTTCCAGATTTTACCTCCTATGGGATGGTTCTCCCTTATTTTCTAGGGTGGCCTCCTTTTCTGAAAATGAGGCTGACAGTTAATATGGGGTTTTGAAGTTTAGCCGAGGGAACAGCTTCAGCCTCCCAAATTGCACATGTAAACTATTTTTTAACACAGGTTGTTTTATAACCTGTGATATGACCTACAGTTAAAAATCATTTATTTATTATTATTTATTTATTAAATGTTTGAGTGTTTTGCTGCATGTGTGTAAGAGCACTTATGTCAGGCAGTGCCTGTGGTGGCCATAATAGGGTGTCAGAACCTCTGGAACTGGAGTTAAGGACAGTTGTTAGCCCCCATTAGGTGCTGGGAACAAAACCTAGATCCTCTGCAGGAGCAGTGTTCTTAACTGCTGAGCCATCTCTCCAGTCCCATGACCGATTATTTTTAGCAAGCTTGTCCTCTTATAGAAAATTTTCATTTCTTTCTGTTTCCTGGTGTATATTCAAATGTAAAAAAAAAAAATAAAATAAAGAGGAAAGGGTAGATAGTTCTAGTTAGTTGTTTTTAGTTTTAGAAGGATTTAAATGAATTTATGAGTCAAATAAGCAGCTATCATTCTTACTAAATTTCTTTCCTTACGCGCAGATTTATGAGAAATACCAAGATCTGTATACTGTGGAACCAAATAATGCACGTCAGCTTGTGGAAATTGCAGCCAGAGACATTGAGAAACTTCTCAGCAACAGATCCAAAGCCCTGGTGGTGAGTTTAGTTGGGGTCTTCTCCTTGGTGATTTGCCAACAGCTGCTTGTTATTTCTTTTTCTTGCTTTTTAAAGGATTTACCTGATATACCTTCTTTACCTCAGTGACTGTGGTCACCTGATAAGTTCATGGGTTCAATGGGAATCTGAAATAAAGTTTTTTTCTGCCTGTTTCAATTTATATCAATATTTTATTTGTATAACATGTAAGAAACATATATTTAACTATTATATGCATATTTATGCCTTTGTAAGTTGTTAAACATAATAATTCAATGAGCACATAATTTATACTGCAACACAAGCCTCATGAACATTGGTAGCATCCCCCAAACTGGAATACTCTCCTTTCCCATGATCCTGCCTTCTTAGCAAACATGGCCACTATACCCGATAATAGATTGATCACTTTACCTTTATAAAAATAGTTGTCCCTCTTTTAACTGCTCTTCTATCCAGTTTCTGAGATTTGCTTGTTGAGCTGCGTTAACAACATATCATATGTCGTCTTCAGCGGCTGGCTTTTCTCCATCCTCGTTATACTTGTGTGACTAATCTAGGTGCACTTAGGTTTTATTCACTTGACAATTCCAGTTAGGTGTCATCCTGACACCATCCAGTGGAGGCCTGAAACTGTGGATGGTATTGAACTGTATACAGTTATCCATCAGTGTTCATGGGGTATTGGTTCCAAGAACCCCATATCCACAAATGTACAGACCCTTATGTAAAATGATAAAGTATTTCCATATAAATTGCATACATCTTCCTAAATTCTTTAAATCTTCTTTAGATTACCTATAATACCTAAGAAATTACAAGAAGTAAGAATATTCTGCACACTCAAATATTTAGGAAACAATGGTAAGAAAAGCATAGTGTATGTTCTCAGTACAAACTCAGTTTTAAAAAGGTACCTTTTGATCTGAGATCAGTTGAATTGGCTGATGCAGAGTCCATGGACACAGAGATTCAATTGCAGTGTATTTTTCCTATGAGAAAGTTTCAGTTATAAATTAAACATAAGAGATTAATAACAATTACAAATAAAGTAATAAGTATAGTAGTAAAAGTTACCATTAAATATTGTCTTGAACTGTATTCACCCATCTTGTACTCACTTATCTTGGCCTTCAAAATTTTTCTGTGCATTCTTAGGCACTGATAAATCTTTTAATTATGATTCTCTAAGTAGCCAGGATCTTGTTGCAGTATAGCAGGGATATCTTTTGTGATACCTGGTATGTTACATTGCTGGAAGTTGAATATTTATTATAATTCTTAAAATATAGCATTGAGTAATCCTTGGTATAACAAACTTTAAAAATATTTTATTTATTATTTAAAAATATTTATTATTTTTTATTTTCTGTATATGAATGTATTGCCTACATGTATGTAAGTGCACCCATGTCATGCAATGCCCACAGAGGTCAGAAGAGGGTGTGGGATCCCCTGTAATAGTATAGTTACAGTTATTAGCTGCCATGTGGGTGCTGGAAATCAAACCTGGGTTTTCTGCAAGAGCAACCAGTGCTCTTAACTGCTGAGCCATCTCTCCAGCCCCAACTATTTTATTTATTATTTTAATTTTTTGTGTATGAATGAATTGCCTGCGTATAAGTTTTGCAATGCCTGCAGAGGTTAGAAGAGTTCAAATTCCTCTGGAACTGGAGTTACAGACAGTTGTTAGCTACCATGTGGGAATCGAACCTGGGTCCTCTGCAAGAACAGCAAGTGCTCTTAACCACTGAGTCATCTCTCCAGCCCCAAGACAAACTTTTATGATGGGAAACCTCAAAGCATTATTACCTTCAGTTTTACCAAAGTTAATACCATTTTTAAACATTGAGAGATATAAATGTTTGCAACCCAAGCTTCTCTAATAAAGATAAGGTGCTTTCTACTTTAGTGCTTAATATTTTGACTGTACCATGGAAGATATTGTTTAATGAAACAGCATTCATCTTTTGTTAAGTGGATTAAAATTGGAGGCTTTTGGGGTTGTTTTCTTATTTCCCATTTGTACGTGAAGTTCAAGACACCTGCTGCATTATTTGGGAGATCAGTTATCTTACCTGCATGACAGCGGGGTACAGAAGGTATAAAGGATAATTAACAAAGAATTAGTTAGACTTTATGTCTGGAAGACAGGTTCATGTTTGTTTTCATACTAAGTTCTTTATTTAGCTTATTTGATTCCACAAAAATAGAAAACATGACTTCACAGGGAAATATTTTGAAGATAATTGCAACACAGGTGGTATATTATACTGTAAATGAATGCAAGATGACATTATTAATTTAATTCTAGGCATTTTGCTGTAGGCGTATATGAAAGGAGACATCTGTATTTAAAGAAACTTTATTTATCTGGGTGTTTTATTCATGTAATTTTGTAAAAAGTGTATTAGAAAAACCATGAATATACAAATAAGAAGTAAGTGACAGAATTTAATATCAGTTGGACTTTATTAAGCGTTTATTACTAAGTAGCAGGATCTAATTATCTCATAATAATACTATATCTAGATACTATTATTCTCATTTTTCAATGAGATGCTGGGTCTTTCAGGGCTCTTGAAACTTACCAAGGAAATGTATCTAATATATAATGTATGCAGTGATTTCAGACATTAATGTGCATACAGATCATGCATAGTTCAGGTTAAAATGCAGATGTTTATTCAGGAGACGGAGCCAAGGATACCACATTTGTAATAATCTCCCAGGTGATGCTGATGCGTCTTTACAAAGCCTATACACAGCACGAATATGAGAGGATATTCAGAAATTCAGGTGTTTCTGACCAGCTGAAAAAAATACAGTTATAGAAAAGGAGAAAGAATGAATAAATACGCTAGTTAAATTAGCTCTGATCTAGTATTTTTATAGGACTAGCAGATATGAACTACATAAATTCTAATAATTTTTTGGTATTAAGTCCTTATAGCTATCCTATGAGGGTGACGTATTAAATATCTATTTATGTTACTTTATGAGTGAAGAAGTCCACAAGACCAAGGTTCTTGTTAAACACTGTATGGAATTAATTAATACTTAACTAAACATTAGTCATTTAATGTTATAATTTAGAGAACATTCTAGGAAACTATAATGTTTTTGCTGAACCCTGTGTCAGATTAATATTTGTTTAAAAAAGATTAAATGGAATAGAATATATAGTATGGAAATAATTTTCATTTATATTTGAAACTTTATGGGGCTGTAGAGATGACTCAGTGGTTAAGAGCACTTGCTACTCTTGTAGAGACCTGGGTTTAGTTCCCAGAACCCTCATCAGGCTGCTCACAGCTGCCTGTACTCCAGTTTCAGGGGAATCTGACATCCTCTTCTGACCTCTGTGGGCACATGCACTTATGTTGTGAACATACATACATAAACGAAGCTAAAAAAATAATAAATCTTACAACAAAAGAAAAGTTATTAAACTTTCATTTTTCTTTAAATAGCAGCATTATCAACCAGATAACATTGAATGATGAAAATTTAGATTTAAGGGGCTGGAGAGATGACTCAGAAATTAAGAGCACTGACTGCTCTTGCAGAGGACACAGGTTTGGTTCCCAGCACCCACATGGCTGCTAACAACCCTCTATAATGTCAGTTCCAGGGAATCTGATACCCTCTCCTGACCTCCATGGGCATTGCATGACACAGGTGCTCTTAAGCATATGCAGGCAATAGATTCATACACATAAAATAAAAAATAAATAAATAAAATTTAAAAAAGAAAAAAACTACTTTTAGGAATGCTTGAGATGGCTCAGTTGTGGGGAAAATTACTTGCCACCAGGCCTGATAACCCAAGTTTGATCCCTGGGACTCATATGGTAGATGGAGAGAACTGAGTTGTGTAGTTTGTCCTCTATTTCCTTTCCTTTCTTTTTTTAAAAATTTTATTTATTATTTTTATATGTTTGCATGTATTGCCTGCATGTAGGTAAGTACACCTGTGTTGTGCAATGAATGCCCACAGGGGACAGAAGAGGCTGTCAGATCCCCTGGAACTGGAGTTATGGACAGTTGTTAGCTGCCATGTGGGTGCTGGGATTTGAACCCAGGTCTTCTGCAATAATAGTCAGTGTTCTTAACTGCTGAGCCATCTCTCCAGCTCCTTGTCCTCTATTTTCACATGTGTGTTGTGGCCAGCATCTACCACACACATGCATGCATATATGCACACACATGTACACACTCTAATATATAAAATGTAACAAAAATTGACAAAAATATAGATTTAAAACGTGAAAGAAAAAATTCAATTTAAAAATTTTTGGTATAGTATTTTATATCTGTTTTTTAGGTTTTTTGTTTGTTTGTTTGTTTGTTTGTTTTGGTCTTTTTGAGATAGGGTCTCCTTATAATAGCCCCAGCTGGCCTGGCACTCATTATAAAGACTATGTTGACCAGGCTGGCCTTGAACTCACAGAGATCTGCCTGCTTCTGCCTCCCAAGTGCCAGGATTAAAGGCGTGTGCCATCATACTCAGCTGATAATGTAGTTTTTTAAAGGAAATAAATAAACACCATTAAAAAACGTAACTTGCTTTTCAATATGTGCAGGAAATGTGATTTTGCATGCATCCATACAATCTAAAATATTTGAGCATTGCATTTTAATGTTACCTTTTATAACTTAGTGATTAACAATGCAAATATAGCTCATTACAATGTTTTATACTTTAGCTCATGTATGTTTATGTTTTTACTCTAGTCTACTTTCCTCTATATTTTCTTTTTAAAATTTATTTTAACTTTTTTATACAAGGTGTTACAGTTTTTTGATCTGCTCCACAAACGAGCCTTAGAGTAGAACATAAAAGAAATCAATGTGAAAATAGTTTCTCTTGCCCCCAGGCCATCTCTTTGATAGTAAAATAGAGTTTTGCACCTAAGTATTTGTGATTTTGTATTTTTTGTAGGGAGGGATGTGAGCTATGCAAAATGATTCTCATCACTCTTTTGTATTATGTCATT